TCCGTGCATCATATTTTTCATGCTAGTTATCCTTTAAATATTTCAGTTTTTCTTAGTGCTTCCATAAGGGCATCTTTTTTAAGAGTAGGCCTCTTGACAGACAGAGGACATCTGTGGAATAATAAAATCAATAAGAAGCTGTAAGATTTGAAGACATTCTAGGAAAGGTTAACAGGAGCACATGATGAATATCTGCTATAGTTTATGTCCTTGTTCCTTTCCCTTGATTCTTGTTTTCATAACAGTAAAACATGGCACTTGGGAGTTAGAAACTTACTCATCCGTGTCAAAATTAAACAGAAGAGTTAATTGGGATCAAAACTCCTGCTAACTTGAACTTCACTTCCAGAAGGAGTTATAGTTACTCTGTACGTTGTTCAAATAGTTGTTCTGTATAACTATTCATTTTAACAGTATTTTAAGTACTTTTTGGGGTGGAGGGCTATCCCAATTGTAAGATATTGTCATTATCCTTCAGAAAAATATTTAAAGAGGGCCTGAACTTTTTTTTTCTACTGCATTGTTTGTGCTTTGTTGCACACTATGGTGTTTATTTATTAAAGCTGGAGGGTGCAAATTCAGGCTCCCTTCCGCAGAGAAACCAATCAGCTTCCAGGTTTTATTACCAAAGCTTAAGTGAACAAGTTAAGGTTAGAAGCTGATTGGTTTCTATGCAGAAGTCAGCCTGATTTTCCACTCTCCAGCTTTAGTAAATAAACCCTTGACTCTCTTTGTTCTCTTAGAGCAGCAGAAATGTGTTTCCTCATTTTGCAATTTCCCCTTCCACTACTGATGATCTGATGGGCTTTGAAGCTATGAAAAAGATTCAGCAGAGTGCACAGAATAAATGAAGCAGATGAAGCAGAAAAATCCTAGCATTGCCAGTCATCAGGTACAACTTCCTTTCTATCCAGGAGAACAGAGAGCTCCACAGTAGTGAAATCATCAATTCTCTGGTTAGACTAGCAGTCAGAGGCAGCAGTGCCTTACATCATCTCACACTGCAGATATACAGCCACAAGGCTCAAGACACAAGAAGTATACTGTCATTTTTCTGGGTTTCGGATTTGGCATAATTAACATTTCCAAACAGGGGCGGACTGACAACTCATGGGGCCCTCGGGCAATAGGGGATCATGGGGCCCCTGTGTCCTTGTTCAAACTCAAAAAAGCCTATGAAAAAGGTACCAGGGGCATCTCATGGGGCCCCCTACTGACCCTGGGCCCTCGGGCAGTGCCTGAGTTTCCAAATGGTCAGTCCACCCCTGTTTCCAAATGTTCCCTAAAAAGAGCAAATTTAAATTTTCAAGTTCAGGCCGCCATTGTTGACCTCTTTCTGAAAAATGTCTGGTGCCTTTCTGTCTCCGGTCATACCTCCTTATCTGTCAAAATGATTATATACTGTATATGTACACATAGATAGATAGATAGATAGATAGATAGATAGATAGATAGATATAGATATATATATGTAGTGGGGCCACTGCTGTTTCCCTTTTAAATAACTGTTTCCATTTTAAGACTGCATGCTGTCAGAAAGGCCTTGACTGGCTCAGCTCTCAGCAGTGCTGGAGTATTTGTGGGAGTTGCAGTTTCATCACAGAAGCAGACAATGTAACTTTATGCTGCACAGGACTACAGAGACCAGGAGGCTTTTTGCAAGGAGGAGGGTTGGTGAGAGCCAGGTGGGCCTTTGCAGAGGACATGTGGGAGCTAGTCTGCAGCCCCTACTGTTTAAGTACACTGACACTGTTTCCAGATCGGCAGCGGTTGCTAAGGACAATGGTTATCTACAGCAGCTGAAGTCAGCGGCAACTGCGATCATTGCTACCAGTCACCCGCTACGGCAGTTACTGACAGCAACGACATCTCCCACCACAGAGAGGGAGGTCAGAGTGTTGGAAATTGCAGAGGAGGCGTGTGACCATCCCAGGTGAGGTCCTCAGAGAATGGAAACACTAGCCAGAGAGGGAAAGCCCCAGTCATCATCCTTTCAAGGAGTTAACCCCTGGAGACTGTTCTTGGATGTGGTGAGCAACTGCTAACCAGTGACATGTCAGTCCTTAAGAGCACTAAACTGATTCGCTAACACAGGCCTGTGTAACACATAGACTCACACAGTGTTACAATCCCACAGTATACAAGTGAATTTGGGACTGAGCCTAAAGAGACGTCAGTTTAGCTGGGGACATATTACTGCTGTAGTTGCAGGGGGTTAATACTGATCTATAGCTATACTGGTATATACAAATATACATTAATATTGTGTTTATGGATGTTATTGTGCCAATTCTAGAAGGTTTGTGTATTCAGTACACTTAACTGCTATTTACCAAGTTAATTTGCAGTCTATTTTCAGAGTTTTACCTCTCTTATTAAACCTGTTATAAAACTTTCCACAAGGTGTACTGTTATGCTGTGGATCCAATATACAGTATATGGTTCATCACTGAAGTAAGGACAGAAGTGCCTGTTAACTCCAGCAGTCTCCTTCGGGGGTGAGCGCTACTTTTATATTTATATACTGTATATATATATATATATATATATATATTATATATTATTTATATATTTTTGTTTCTTTTTTAAATCATGTAATAATCTTTATCTTGTCTCATTTATATATATGGAATATACTATATAATATACATTGAATGAAATAAGTATTTGATCCCTTGCTGATTTTGAATGGTTGCCCACTCACAAAGAAATGGTCAGTCTAAAAATTGAATGGTATGTGTATTGTAACACTGAGAGACAGAATAGCAACAAAAAATTCAATAGAAATGCATGTATAACACATTCTGCACTGATTTGCATGTTCATGAGGGAAATAAGTTTTTGATTCGATTCAGAAAACATGACTTAGTACTTGGTGGCAAATCCCTTGTTGGCAATCACAGAGGTCAGACGTTTCCTGTAGTTGGCCACCAGGTTTGCACACATCTCAGGAGGGATTTTGACCCACTCCTCTTAGCAGATCCTCTCCAAGACTTTAAGGTTTTGTGGCAGATGTTTGGCAACTCGAACTTTCAGCTCCCTCCACAGATTTTCAATCATATTAAGGTCTGGAGACTGGCTAGGCCACTCCAGGACCTTAATGTGCTTCTTCTTGAGCCACTCCTTTGTTGCCATGGCCATGTGTTTTGGGTCATTGTCATGCTGGAACACCCATCCATGACCCATTTTCAATGCCCTGTCCGAGGGAAGAAGGTTCTCACCAAAGATTTAACAGTACATTGCCCCATCATCCCTTTGATGTGGTGCAGTTGTCCTGTCTCCTTAGCAGAAAAACACCCCCAAAGCATAATGTTTCCACCACCATGTTTGATAGTTGGGATGGTGTTTTTGGGGTCATAGGGAGCATTCCTCCTCCTCCAAACATGACGAGTTGAGTTGATGCCAAAGAGCTCAATTTTGGTCTCATCTGACCTCAACACTTGCAACCAGTCCTCCTCTGCATCATTCAGATGTTCAGTGGCAAACTTCAGACAGGCCTGGACATGTGCTTTCTTGAGCAGAGGGACCTTGCGGGCACTGCATAATTTCAATCATTGTTGGCATAGTGTGTTACCAATTGTTTTCTTGGTCTGTGGTGACTGTGGTCTCAGCTGCCTGGAGAACATTGACAAGGTCCTCACATGTTGTTCTGGGATGATTCCTCACTGTTCTCATGATCATTGACACTCCACAAGGTGAGATCTTGCATGGTACACCAGACCTAGGGAGACTGACAGTTGTTTTGTGTTTCTTCCATTTTCGAATGATGTCACCTTCTCACCAAGCTGCTTGGCAATAGTTTGGTAGCCTAGTCCAGCCTTGTGTAGGTCTACAATCTTGTCCCTGACATCCTTGGACAGCTCTTTGATCTTTGCCATGGTGGACAGTTTGGAATCTGATTTGTTTGATTGCTCCTGTGGACAGGTGTCTTTTATACAGGTAACAAAATGAGATTAGCAGCACTCCCTTTAAGAGACTGCTTCTAATCTCAGCTTGTTACCTGTATGAAAGACACCTAGTAGCCAGAAATCCTGCTGAATGATAGGGGATCAAATACTTATTTCCCTCATGAACATGCAAATCAGTACATAATTAGTTAGATATGCATTTCTTTTGAATTTTGTGTTGCTAGTCTAAATCTCCCATTCGATTTTTAGACTGATCATTTCTTTGTGAGTGGGAAAACATTAAAAATCAGCAGGGAATCAAATACCTATTTCTTTCACTGTATAGTGTGTGTGTATGTATATATGTGTGTATATATATATATATATATACAGTATATCCACTGCAGAACTATAATCATTTTTTACTTTTACAAAAGCTCATGTGAACAGCGCCCCTATACTACTGTTGGCTGCTGTTGCCATCTTGATATGTACAGTCAGGACAGATACAGGGCTATTCTCTGTATTACACAATATCATACTTTCTGAGATGGGAATGAGAGACCCTTGTTAGCAAAAGTATGTAGGCATAGGACACACCCCCTGCCATGCTCCCTTAACCATTTGCCTACCGGGCACTTATACCCCCTTTGTGCCCATGCTAATTTTCAGCTTTCAGCGCTGTCACACTTTGAATGACAATTGTGCGGTCATGCAACACTGTACCCATATGACATTTTTATAATTTTTTTCATACAAATAGGGATTTCTTTTGGTGGTATGTACTTGCCGCTGGGTGTTTTATTTTTTGCGCTATAAACAAAAAAATTGCAAAAATTTTGAAAAAAAAAAGTTTTCTTTGCACTGATTGGCAGCACTGATAGGCACTGATAGACGGGACTGATGGGCACTAATAGGCGGCACTGATGAGGTGGCATGGATAGGCAGCACTGATGGGCACAGATAGGCGGCACTGATGAGCTGGCACTGATGAGGCTGCACTGATATGCAACAATGCTGGGCACTGATAGGCGGCACTGATAGGCAACACTGATAGGTGGCACTGATGGGCGGCATTGATGGGTGGCATTGACTGACGGCACTGACTGGCGGCACTGCTGGGCACTGACTGGTGGCATTGCTGGGCACTGATGGGTGGCACTGCTGGGCAGCACTGCTGGATGGCACTGATGTGTGGCACTAATGGGCACAGGTGGGTGGCACTGATGGGCACAGGTGGTTGGCACTGATGGGTACTTGTGGGCGGTACTGCTGGGCACAGTTGGGCGGCACTGGTGCGTGGCACTGCTGGACACTGATCATCAGGGTACTGATCATCAGTACCCTGATGATCGGTGCCGATCCATCCTTTGACAATTGCCAGTTACCGGCAGTACTTTCCTCACGCTGTGACAGCGTGAGTAAAGTGCAGCCGATAACCAGCAACTGCATTTACTGGTGATTTGCTGTGTCATTGGACACGGCTAAGCACGTGGTAAAAGGCCGCTGTGATTGGCCTTTTACCACATCATGTGATCAGCTGTGTCTGTAGGACACAGCGATCATGGAGATCGCCGGGTGCGCGCCCCCGGGGGTACGCGGGAGGGCGCGTTCTGGGAGGGTGTCATATGACGTCCTCCAAGAACTGGCCGACCGCAGTGAAGCCGTCATTCGGCTATCTGCGGTCGGCAAGTGGTTAAAGGAAAATTGTACAAAATAAAAAGATTGGCTAAACCCACAAGTGCTTTTATACCACTACTATTGCTTTATATTGGCTTCTGGAATTTATAAATGCAGTATTTTAGAAATTGGATGAAAGGTTTAGCACTATAAAACACTTTTTGATAGATAAGTATTGCATTTTATATACAATTATATACATCAGAACAAAATAAGGGACAAATGAGGAGAAAAGAGGGACAGAGGTACTTTGTTGTGAATGAGAGACAGCCCCTAAAAATCAGGGACTGTTGGGAGCTATGCACAATATTACTTAAAGTGTTACTCAGCCCACAACAGTAAAATCAGTCTTTATATGCAGTGAAACATGCCTATTATACTCACTGTGGAATCCTCTACATTGTGCAAAAAGGATGTTTGATCCTGTCTTCTCTGATCCTCCCCTTCTTCTACTGTCCCCAATCCATTTCCTGATAGAACAGAGCCTTGGGGGCAAGCTTCATATGCTCAGTTTGGTGTGTATTGCTAGAGAGCTTTTTTTTTCTTGGGAGAGTGCATGTGTTCAGCACAGGGCCAATCAGCGCTGTCCAGAGGGTCAGGGGTCCTGCATCCTCATAGGACAGTCAGAAGAGAATGAAAACACCTCCTACAAGCTTTAACCAATGCTCAGCTGAACACTGATAGAAGTCACATGACTGCTCTAACTGCTGATTAGAAAAGGTATTTAGCAGTTTATATTTACTAAAATAATTTCATATCCATGTTCTGTGTACTGTGGGAGACCAGATATAGTGAATGCAGGGTCCTGGGTTTAGTAACACTTTAAATTCGGCTCTTCCCCAGCTCAGACCTGGACACTGATTGCCTCTCCTGAGGAGTTTCTGAATTTGAGCATACCCTAAGATAAAGGGTCCACACAGATGAGTATCTATTTTTAAAAGTTAATGTACAAATAACCACCTACGCATTATGATTAGCAAATAAAAATAACAATAAAAATGTAAATGCAGTGCATCACTTCCGGTGGAATATACACTGAGGGATCAGTGGCTTCTGCAAGATCCGACCGGGATTGCCTGTATGTTTTGTAGTATTTTTATGGGCATAATCCTTTATATGATACCATTCTTCTTCTCTCTTTTTTTAAATGTATGCCGTTATCACCTTTGGAAATCTATTAGGATTGCTGGAAGTAACAACGCTGATAATAGCCAAGCAGGAGATCTCAGCTGTCCATAGGAGACCACAAAGCGCAGGTGACATTTCTTGTTGTATAAGAAGGTCAATGAAATCTGGTGAGCGAGGAGATAAAACACATATTGGTGGTGGCACATTGGAAGGTGAGATCAGTGTACAGAGCACTTTTATTGAACTTTCATATGGACTTTTCATAATTTTATGGTGTTGGAATCGATGGAAGTACACACTATTTGGGACTTTGCACAGTGATTTGTTTTGAATATAGATACATTTTTAAAAATAATTTCCTTTATGAGATTTGCACATTGTATTGAGTGTTGATTTGCAAGCGCTCTCAGGTGTATGTAATATTTTAAAAGTTGCCTTACGCTGTTTGACTTTTATCAGGTTCCTGATACACTGGAGAAAATTTGCTTAGCAGGTGTTCCTGTCAGCCCCCTCCCACCCAACATCATATCATTGAAAAGTCAAAGAAGCTAGGAGAAAAATGTCAGCTGAACAGTGACTGCATTCAGTCAGATGTGTGGGTATTCTGGCCGCCACAGTATCAGAATACATTAGCCCAGCAGGGAGGTTTATGGATTGTGGATAGCATGGATGGAGGAATCTGTTAGATTCTAACAGTGTATGGCCAGCTTAGGAAGAGTGTTTTTGGCTAAGGAGTGCCTCTAGCAGAGAAGTCTTGACCATGGAATTCTGCAACGAGGTATGCCTCTGGAACACCCCCAGGTTTGACCCACTAGTAACAACTCAGATGTACTTGGTTATACCTGGAGAAGACTGTGTGACAGAGGTATTACAAATATACTGGCAGCTGGTGTTCTAGAAGATGAGACAGAGGTGGCTAGATGGAAGAGAGAGATGAAGTTGGATCTAGGCCAAGCCAAGGTCAGTGTTGTCAGACTGAGTGCCAAAATGTCAGCCAGGAGCAAGATCTGATTCAGACTGTTGTCAGCAGAGGTCAGCAGAGAAGGAAGGGTGCCAAATTGATTTGGAGCCAAGAGATATAGAAGTGTTAACTCAGGTCAAGTCAAGGGAGTGAGATCAGATCAGAAACCCTTAGGACACACATAGCCGATTTCCTAAGCACAGGACTCTTGCAAGTGCTTACTAAAATAGGCCTTCTGATGTAATGGGCATCTGAAAGCATATACACCCTAGTTTTTTTCAATCAGAAATAAAGTTTTTTTAATAAACTTAGATTCCAGAGTGTTTGTGTCACATCATCAAAATACAGCAGATCACGTTTCATTGGGAAATACAGTGATACAAATTATATAGTGAAGAAACATGGGCTCACCCCAGCTAAGGTAATCAAACCGTTGAGCAATCTATAACAGGAAATCCAAGCCATCATACATATAAAATAAAAAAAAGTAACAATATCCAAGGAATACCATGAAGACCAAGCAGTGAGTCTAGAAAATGCAGCCCTGACCCAGCAGTCGATGCAAGACAATCTCCTCCGGGGCTAGGCCTGGCATAGAAAACCTGTGCAGAGGGAGATGAGACAGAAAGGAGCTTCCAAGTACAGTATTCCAAGGTCAATTTTAATAAAATCGATTAAAAACACTTACAGTGTAGCAGTACAAACAGACCAGAAATTGATTACTTTGTATGCATTTTCTGCACATCATCACCCTGTGACTCTAGGAATGGACTTAATAATAGGGTTTTTGTAGCAAAGAGAGAGAGGAGGACTGCTATTTGCAGTCTCACAGGTAAGTTGTTAAAGTAACGCACTCCATGCTAGCCAGATAGCAGTTTGTTGTTTTATTTTTTAGGCTGAGTAGCAACCTGGGATGAGTAAGCCTGTGAGTGAGGCAGGAGTTCCGCACAGAAAAGGCTAGGGAGGTTCTGAAAATCAGAGCTTCTGGAGCCCTCCCACCTCTCCAGAAATCTGAAAGCTTTCTGGAGGAGGGATGGAGTGGGGGGGGAGCTCGGATTTGCATGCTTAAGAGACTTTGGTCAATCCCCTGGGAGGAAGCTGTGTATGGTGACCAAGGCAACCCTTAAGACTCACAGAGCCTGGGAGCAGTTGGGCAGTAATGGGTGAAAGATAGAGTGAGCGGCTGGAGTGGGAGGGGGCCCAAGGAAGAGGCCTACCTACATGCAGGTGCTGGAGAAGAGGATCTCCACTGTACAACCTTCTCCAAGGGAGGATATCCAGAGCAACAGGGAAGGAGCCAGCCTAGGAAAGGCTTGAAGGCAGCCACCAACCCATTAAGCTATCAGGAGAGGACAATGTAAGTACTCTTACACACCCTGGGCCGGATAGAGGGAAAGGGTAGTTAGGTGGAGGACCCAACTAGCTTCTCATCCAGGGCTGCTGTGTTAAATTGGCAGTTTCTGGGGCCCCATGCAGCTGGGTGAAGAGGAGCATTAATCTGGGGTCTGAGGAGGTACACCAGAGAGCTGGAAAGCTCTTAAAGGAGAGACTATTTTGTCTACACCTGTACATAGTTGCTAAGGAGTTTGTCTTCAAGTTTGCATCCCATACACCCCTCAACACTGTCCAAGTTCTAAGCTCTAAGCCCCTTAATAAAACAACAACAAAAAGACAATTCAAGGACTGTTTACTGACACCTTTGTGCAAAGTTTGAAAGAAAATGCCTGGCTGTACAGGGCTTTAGGGGGACCCAAATCTCAGTGACTCCTACCAGGGTAGTGCTACATTAATATCAGGGCTTGTTTACACCACAATATGTTTGCTAACATTCATTATCACATAGCACATTTTCACACTGTATATGTGCCTTGCAATTCATTTCTAATTACACCTTATCACACATATACAGTGAGCTGAAGTGCACTGCATTGCAGGGATGTAAATGTTTTGTGCTTACAGAGAATGAAAGGGCTGCCTAGAGCAACACACCCCAACACATGAATCATGTGGTAAAACTTGACATGAGTCATGGCGTGACTGCACCTTCATTGCTGATTGGCAGGGGTATTAAAAGTATGGTTTATTTCTCTGCATGATATTGGGGAAATATTATATATATGTTTAGCACTACTCCTGTAGGAGCCACAGCACTACTGTCTGGGTCTTCCCCAAAAACTTTGCCCCACAGCTAGGCACATAGGCACATTCACATGTTTCTTCAATGACCAGTCTAGGGGGGTGTTTTTATTGTTTTTATTTTTGGAGAACTTGGATAGGGTTGAGAGAATTAGGTAGGATGTTCCAAAAACAAGACCTATATACAGTTGAGGTATTCTTTTGGATAAGCTATGATGAAGTCCATGAAACAAACAGTAGACTTCAGCTTTAAGGCAGCGGTGGTAGTAGTAGTAGCAACTAGAATCCCTTTGGGTAGGAGATTAAGTGGAAAAAGCTCTTCAGAACACCAGCTGGTGACCCCTTCAGCTAGACTCACAGCTGAATCTCTAGCACCAGAGGAAGTTAAGTAGCACGCAGTCTCTAAGATCCTTTAGGGGTGTCTGTATTCATAACGCCCAAGAGCAGATGGTTGCCATCCTCCATGATATCAGACCAGAACCTCAGTAGACAGCCCCTTAGCCAGCTTAGGCAGATCCCAGATCTTAACATTCATGCCCTCAGGTCA